TGATTCTACTTGGCGATTTCAACGCGAGAGTAGGATCTGATCACACTGCCTGGGATGGCGTCATTGGAAAAAATGGAATCGGTAAATGTAACAGCAATGGCCTACTATTACTGAAGACATGTGCGGCTCATGATTTGATCATCACCAATACCATCTTCCGCCTGCCCACTCGCAAAAAGACGTCCTGGATGCACCCACGCTCTAAGCACTGGCATCTCATTGATTATGTCATTGTGCGGAGGAAAGACAGACAGGATGTAAGGGTGACCAAGGCCATGCCGAGTGCTGACTGTTGGACTGACCACAGACTTATCATCTCCAAATTAAGCTTTCGCATCAAGCCAAAGAGACGTCCGCAGGGAAACAAAGCTGTGATGAAAAAGATCAATGTCAGTAGACTGAGGAACCCCAACACAGCAACTTTACTAGCAGAAGATCTTGGCAACCAACTTTTAGAGCTGCAATTAGAGGAAAATGCTGAGAAGGACTGGGAACGCTTCCGGGATATTGTGCACTCTTCTGCACTAAAGGTTCTTGGACCCTCACACAGGAAACAGCAGGACTGGTTTGATGAAAACGATGAAGAGATCAAGGCCATACTTGCTGAAAAGCATCGCCTTCACCGTGCTCACCAGAATGACCCATCGTCAACAGCTAAGAAAAATGCCTTCAACAACATTCGCAGGATCGTACAGAACAAGCTTCGTAAGATGCAGGACTCCTGGTTGAGTGCCAAAGCAGATGAAATCCAGAAGTTTTCTGATAGAAACGATGCCAAACGGTTCTACGAAGCCCTTAGATCCTTGTATGGACCTCAGCCCTCAGGGAGTTCCCCTCTACTGGACTCAGATGGTGCAACTCTCATTACTGAGAAGGCTCTGATTTTACAGCGTTGGGCTGAGCACTTCCAATCCGTACTGAACCGCCCATCTTCCATCAATAACGAGGCGATTGATAGAATGCCCCAGGCGGATATCAACCACAGCCTGGATGTCTCACCATCAGAGACTGAAACCTTACAGGCCATCAGCCAGCTGTCCAGTGGCAAGGCCCCAGGATCTGATGCGATTCCAGCGGAAGTCTATAAGGGTGGTGGTGCAGTGCTTGTCAACAAACTCACTCAGCTGTTCCAGTCCTTCTGGAATCAAGGATCTATTCCTCAGGAACTGAAAGACGCGTCTATCGTACACCTCTACAAGAGGAAAGGAAATCGACAAGTTTGCGATAATCATAGAGGAATATCACTGCTTTCCATCGCAGGTAAGATCCTTGCACGAGTGTTGCTGAATCGTCTGATTAACCACCTGGAACAGGGTTTATTACCCGAGACACAGTGCGGCTTCCGCAAAGAGCGTGGCACGGTGGATATGATCTTCGCAGCCCGACAGCTTCAAGAGAAGTGTCAAGAGCAGAATCGTGAACTGTACACCACCTTCGTGGATCTCACCAAGGCTTTTGACACTGTCAGTCGCGAAGGTCTGTGGCGCATCATGTCGAAGTTTGGGTGCCCTGACAGATTCATCTTGATGGTACGTCAGTTCCACGACGGCATGACGGCTCGTGTTTTGGATGATGGAGAAGCTTCAGAGGCCTTTCCCGTCACAAACGGCGTCAAGCAAGGGTGTGTGCTGGCACCGACCCTGTTCAGCATAATGTTTTCAGCCATGCTGTCAGACGCCTTTCAGAACAGTTCCTTGGGAATCAGACTGAGATACAGGACCGATGGGAAATTGTTTAACCTGCGAAGACTCCAGGCTGTCACCAAGATAAAAGAGACTGTGTTACGAGATCTCCTTTTTGCTGATGACTGCGCCCTGAATGCTGGATCAGAGCAGGAAATGCAAGCCAGCATGGACAAATTTGCAGCAGCATACGACAACTTCAGCCTACTCATCAACACAAAGAAAACCGAAGTGATGCACCAGCCAGCTCCGAAAGCTCAACATCAAGTGCCCACCATCACAGTGAAGGGACAAAAGCTGCAAGCAGTGGACCAATTTACATATCTTGGCAGCACCCTCTCCCGCTCAGTGACAATTGACATCGAGGTCAACTGCAGAGTCGCCAAGGCAAGCTCTGCATTCGGCAGACTGCTGACCAAAGTGTGGGACCGCCGTGGAATAAGCCTTGCTACAAAGCTTAAAGTCTATTGAGCAGTAGTGTTAACTACCCTGATGTACGCCAGTGAGACTTGGACTGTATACAGGAGGCACGCTAGGCAACTGAACCACTTCCACACGATTTGCCTCCGCAGACTTCTGAGGATCCGGTGGCAGGATAAGGTGCCAGACACAGAAGTCCTTTCTAGAGCAGGTCTGCCGTCAGTTTACACCCTGCTGATGAAAGCTCAGACACGCTGGGCAGGCCATGTTGCAAGGATGCCAGATCATCGCATCCCTAAACAGCTCTTCTATGGTGAGCTGTTTCAAGGGAAGCGATCGCACGGGGGACAAAAGAAGCGATACAAAGATACGCTTAAAGCCTCTCTCAAGTCCCTGGATATTGACACCACCTCCTGGGAGATCCTGGCACAAGACCGATCAACATGGCACACGCTGATCTACCAAGGCTGTCAAACATCTGAAGCCAGAAGAACAACCATAGCACAAGAGAAGTGAGCACTCCGTAAAGCCAGAGTTGCAAAAGCTGCAACAGTGGTGCCCACACATGTCTGCCCGACATGTGGCAGAACATTCCATGCCCGTATCGGCCTTATCAGCCATTTGCGGACACACCGTGGACAGTCCACAACCCGTTAGATGTCAAGGTCCTCTTTGAATACGATGGACGAACAACAACAACAGCATATGTCAGTGAAGTGTATCTAAAGATTCTCAACCCAGTTGATGACCCATGTAATGGTGTGAGTGTGCATATGTTGGGTGTGAAGAATTTGGTCCATGTGAGGGCATTGGTCCATGTGAGGGCATTTGTTTATTCAGATTGCTTTTTTAAAAAAAAGCCTAGGAAGTGACACTGTAAATGAACAGCTATAAATAAATGTGATGGGTGCAAAATCAAACTTTCAAGAGCCTCAGCAATCTGAATTTGGCCCACTGTGCATAAACCCTGTTATACTAATTGCAATATTGCAGCATTTTTTTTCCACAGGACCCCTGCTTTATTCAATAAGCAAGATGAACCAGCAACCTTAATTCCAGCATTTCATACCCTTTGAGAATCTGACTTCGCAAACTTCATGTTCCTTTAATGTAATAATTTCAATGAAATAATAGAATGAGAAGGGCCAGCCTTAAACAGTGGAGCTCACAAAATCCTGGGTTAAAAGGTAAGTAATGGATAATTGTTTAAGACTGCCTTTGGACAAGATAATAAAATAACCTCTCCATTGTATAATGGGAATACTGACATCAGTGAGAGTTGTAGGGTCTGAGCACCTGAAAGCTATCCCCTCTGACTGAATACCCAAACCTCTCAGGCTATGTCTACACTCGCGGCTTCTTGCATGAGAAATATGCAAATGAGTCTAAGGGTGGAATATTGCTGATCCTCATTTGCATACCTAATGAGCCACCATTTTTTTCAGACGAGGCTCTTGCGCAAGAAGGTGTGTCTACACTGCCCCTTCTTGAGCAAGAAAAACCCCCTTGCGCAATTCCGTTACACCTACTACTTTTCAGGAAGAATGGCATCGCGCAAGAGGGTTTTTCTTGCGCAAGAAGGGGCAGTGTAGATGCTCCTTCTTGTGCAAGAGCCTCTTCTGAAAAAAATGGCAGCTCATTAGGTATGCAAATGAGGCTCAGCGATATTCCACTTAGACTCATTTGCATATTACTCGTGCAAGAAGCTGCGAGTGTAGACATAGCATCAATGTCCAAAATTAGTATGCATTTTCAAACATTTCAGTCTTAAAACCAATCCATATATTTGAAGGATGACTTTGACCACCTAATCTGCCTTCCTATATGCCACAGGCATATAGGTATGCTATCAGGCATTTCCTGCACCAAATCCATAACTCCTAGTTGAGTTACAGCATATCTTACAGAAAGCCATCCACTCTTGATTTAAATACCGAGAACCCATTACATCTCCAGGAAAGTTACTCCAATGGTTAATTACCCTTACTTTTAGCAACTTGTGCCTTATTTCCAATTGGAATGTATTCAGTTTCATCTTCTAACCACTGGACCTTGTTATGCCTTTGTCTGCTAGATTAAAGAGCCCTCTACTAAAATCTCATATAGATACTTATAGACCATGATCAAGTCACCTCTTAACCCTTTCTTTTTTTAAGATAAATAGTGAAGGTCAGAATTTTCTGTTACACTTAGCCTGTAGCCTAGAAACCACATACACCCGCCTCAATAAAGTGCTTGAGATGTGTGGATGAAGAGGCATTATGTATGTGCTAGTGCTATGCATTAAACCAGGGAAAATTATCTTTTGAGTGAGACCATGACCCTCAGTTCCTAGAAATCTAAGAGTATAAGAATGACAATTCAAACGCTTGGAATATTTCCTACCCCTATGTAAAATCTGAAGACTTCTGAAATTGTTTTAGAACAATAAAAACAAGAAGAGAAATATACACAATATATAGATTCTTTCTATGGAATTCACGATTTAAGAAGGTCATTTAGTCAACTACTCTAACTAGGTTTTAAAAGAGCTCTGCATAATTTTTGAAGGCTAACATTTGTAGTTACGCAAGGGTAACCAGATCACATGCTTTTTCCGCATAAAATAACAACTTGCAGAGGGTAGAAAGTCAACACACAAGTGGGAAAGGGTGGAGTTTGCGTAGTGCAATTATCAACTACACAGCTCTTGGTTGATTACTGGATATGCTCAGGACTGACAAACACTAAATTCCTCCTAATCTCCTAGTACAGCAAGGAACAGAAATTGGGTTCCTTCAATAGGCCCATTCAGCAACCTGTGGAAGAGAGCCGAGAGGTGAGAAATCAGATGACAGTCATTCTAATTCTTCTTGTGAAGTTAATGTAATTCCCTGTTAGTTGATGAAACATACTTACAGGTGGGAGTCACCAAAGCTTCAGCCACTCCAAGTAAAATGTACTGAGGAGCCAGATGAAAACAAGGCATGGAGGAAACTGGAAGCACTTTGCCTGACAGAGCCTGTTCCACTTGAGGGAAGTGTTTCCTGTGTATTTCAGAAAAGCCAGCTACCATCACAGACAGAGCCGCAAAGAAGTGACCTACAACTGAGTAAACAAAGAGAGGAGGGCTTTTTGACAAGAATGAAGCTATAGATTCCAATATAATCAAGTGACACAACATGTTTTTTTTTAAAATACATAGTAACAAATTGTAGTTCAGTAGGCTCTTAATTATCATTAACATTTGCACGGTCCTTCGGAACATCAATAAGGAGCATCCACTGCCCCGAGGAGCTACAGTCTAAACAAGAAAAGGCAAAGGGCAAGCACTGAGTGTTGGGAGTTCAACTTTGGAGAAAGGGGAAGGGGGATTGCAAAATGTGAGAAAGAAGGCATTTTCGAAGAGGTGAGTTTTAAAGAATCATTTTTTAGGGAAACAGAAGGTGGTAAATGGAGGAGGAAAAGGAGAGACTTTTGAAGGTATGCAGTCTGAAGACCTAAAGCTGGAGGAGAAGACAAGGGTGAGTGGAAAGGGTGAGAAGGATACAAAACACCCAATTCCCCTGGGAACACTTTACATTGCCAGTAACAGGTTAATGGTCTGAGTAAGGAATGCATACACATGATCTGTGTCTTGTCAGCCCCTACACTAGATGTGGAAGAGCACAAGACCCAGTTAGGATCACTCTGATCTTTTTGAAGCTTGTATTAGCAAGATATGATTGGTGGCTCCATTGTTAAGGTTGCAGTTCATTTAATTTGTGAAAGTGGTTTTAACCACCTTTGGCCTGGATTCTGGCAGACCCCCTGCATCCTCATGGAGCACCCTTGTCTTCAGTAGGGCTCCACATGGGTGCTTTTGAATACGGCTATGATTTGGTGATATAGGTCACAGAATCTCTGTGACTTTTTCAGCTTCACCCCCACCATGACCATACTCTGATTTTGTATATTTTTCTTATTACTGTTCTGTGAATTTTGCTGAATTTTACCTTGACAAAATTGTGTCCATACTTATGTATTAAGAGTTAAAATGGCATATTTAATATTATAAGTCAAGAAACTTTTTGGGGAACTCCTTTTAACTAATTCAGCCTTTCCACTCTGTCCCAATATATATTTACTGAACTTGGCTTGATCTGGGTAAATTCTCCTGACCTACTCTTTTGCAAATACATTTATTAGAGATCCAGTCTTTGCTATTCTGTTTAACAAAGGTGAAGCTACAGTACTGGAAAATCAAAGTAATCTCATTCATAAATAACTATTTGTTTTCGATGATAGTGTAACATAAGATTTTCATCTGAATCCAGATTTAAGCAATCCCCTTAAGCTTAATTTTTAACAGAGCAGAAACAGCATAAAAGCTAGAATATAGATTTGAAGGTTGACAGCTCTCGAGTTTCCACTCGCCTCAGAAATCCTTGATCACAAGAGATAACGACTACAGTTGCTTCTGATCATCTAATGGTATCTCTGGATGACACATGAACCACTGTTAGATGCAGTCACACATGTACAAGTGATTTAAAAAGTGTGGTCTGCTTCTTCACTCATTCTCTTCACCTGTGCAAGATGAGTGCAAATCAGTTATAAAACACTATCCTTCTGACCTAGTGACATTTTAAATGCTATGGATTGCAACATAATAATAGCAATAATAGCAATAGCAATAATACTTAAACCACACATTTATGCTATTGAGTATCTATTGCATAGACAGAAAGAAACTGTTGTAACCCCCAAATCTATATTGAGACCCAAATTTTCAGAAGTGGTCTCTAATTTTAGGTGCTCACTTTGAGACACCCATATTTCATAGGTTCTGGGCACCTGTAGTTCTGATTGATTTCCTCTGGAATTATTAAATTTCAGTATCCCTGAGAATCAGGCCCTAAGAGATCTGAGTTGATTACAAAAATTGTGTGCGCTTAGAACTTTTTAAATTTGTTGTTTCTAATTTGTTTTTTCTTAGAATTAGTGACCTTTAATTCTAAGATCAATGAGTAGTGCTGTGAAATCTTAGAGAATAACATGACTAACTAATATGAACCTATTTATTTGTTAGTCTCTAAGGGTGTGTCTAGACTACATGCCTCCGTCGACGGAGGCATGTAGATTAGCCAGATCGGCGCTCATGATACCAGCTACATGTTTTGTTAGTCTATAAAGTGCTACCAAACCATCTGCTTACTTTTTCACAAATAGCAATAATAATCCTTTATACTTCCATAGCGCCTTCCATCCAAACATTCGAACAGTAGAGTAGCAGCTACCTCCTGTAGCACCTGTCATTCTGCTAGCAGCTGTACCAGGGAGACAAGTCTCAGAAGGGTAGCCATGTTTGTTGTTTCTGAGGATACAGATTAAGGAAACCTGTGGTACCTTAGGGTACGTCTAGACTACATGCCTCCGTCGACGGAGGCATGTAGTCTAGACGTACCCTAAGGTACCACAGGGCTACCCTTTGATATTAGAATTATAGGTCACTTTTGACATTTCAGGCCCAAATACCTGAGCTCTGTGTTAAGTTTCACCTTGGTTTAGGAAATTTCATGCTGTTCTCTATCCCAAAATTGTTCACTGAACAACATTCAAAGGGCTGTTGTCACTGGATTGGTTTAAATTATGCCAATGTCAAGCATACAGTGAAGTTGAAACAAAGGGGCTAGAACACTGAAGGTTTTAGTGGCCACAAGACCCAAAAGTAAAATGTGTGTGTGGTTCAAGGTCTCCTTTGCGACCTCTTCCAGGCTAAAATTTTCCTGCCTTTCTCGAACTTGTAATTCACATTTTAAATCTTCTGAGGATGCAGTTCTTGTTTTATCATTGATTAAGGCCCTTTTAATGTTTATTAGGAACCTAAATGAATTATTGCTTGAAAAAAAAATCGATGACAGGAGAGGATGCAACAGCATTTGATAGCAGATGCATCATATCAAGAATAGGTATAAAGCCTTCAAGGAGCTTCTTGAAATCTATTATGTCAAAAGTTCCCCAAATAAAAAGGCATGTTAGTGCAGGACAAGCCCCAGAGGATTCAGTGAGAAAAAAATATTACTACTTGGCATTTTATATAGCTTGTTTTTCATCCTGGGTCTCTCAAACCACTTCACAAGTATTTATTTAACATCTGAATACTGTACTATGTTAGCTATTCTGGGGAGATGGAAATTAAAGGGTTTGCCCAGGTACACAAATCTGAAAGAGATAGGAGCAGAGCAACCAAAAGAGCTCCAGCTTCCTTTCATCTCTTCTAGCTACTGAACTTCACTCCTCCCCCCAAAAAGGAGGTTTTGGATATTTATCCAAAACCTGGATGTATACTTATGATAACAGGTTCTCTCAACCTATTTAGGCATTCTTATGTTTTTTGTCTGAAATCTCTCCAATTTTTCAGCATACTTCTCGAGTTGTTGACAAAAAAAAGCGGGGGCACTATTGCAGTGGTTGCACAAGTGCGCAATAAAAAGATAGCTGATTACCTTACTCCAGCTCCATATCCCCTTGTTTATACATCCATGGATCTGATTAATCTTGTTGGCTACAGTATCATGCAGAGAAGTAATGTTCAGCTGACTGTCCATCATGACCCCAAGTGCTTTTTAAAATGACTGCTTCCCAGGATAGAAGCCCCACCCAGTAAGTATTGGTAACATTCATTGTTCTTAGATGTACAATTTTACATTTGGCAGTATTAAAATATGTTGTATTTGCTTGCACTTTTTTTACCAAGTGATTGAGACAGCTCTATATTAGTAACACATTCTCTTCACTATTTACCACCCCACCACCCTCAATCTTTATGATATTTGCAAATATTGAGTGGTGACTTTTTGTTTCCTTCCAGGTCAATGATAAAAATGTTAAATAGCACAGCGTCAAGAACCAATTCCTGCGAGACAGCACTGGAACACACCTAGTTAAGTATGAATTTGCATTTATAATTACATATTGATCTTTGAATTATCTAGTTTTTAATCCATTTATTATGTGCCATGTTGACTTTGTATCATTCTAATTTCTGAATTATAATATCATGTAGTTCCACATCAACTTTCTTACAAAGTCTTAGTGTTGATGTATTCTACTATCACCTTTTATCAACCAAACTTGTAATCATATTGAAAAATTATCAAGTCAGTTTGACAGGATCTATTTTCCATAAACCCATCTTAACTGGCATCAATAAAGTTACCCTCTTTTAATAATTTATTAATCAAGTCCTATATCAACTATTCCAATAATTTGCTTGGATCAATGCCACACTGACAGGTGCATTGCTATATAGGTTGTTCCACTTTTTTAAAATATTGGCACATTAATTTTCTTCTAATACTCTGGAACATCTACGGTGTTCCAAAAGTCATTGAAAATCATCATTAATAATAAAGAGGGCTTCTCAGCCATCTCTTTTAAAGTTCCTGGAGCAAGTTATCTTGATCTGCTTATTTAAAATTATCTAGCATTTGCAGCAGCTATTCTGCTTTTCTGCATTTACAGTTGACAATGCTACATTTTTCATCTAGAAATGGATCTGTACCATTGTCAGGTTTTTTCTTCTTCCTAATATACTTAAAAATAATATAATGTCCTAACTCTGCTGCTCAGTTTTCCCTCTGTTCTTTTGCTTCCCTTAGCAATTTTCTACAAGACCTAACTTCTGGTTTATAGCCATTACTATCAACTTCTCATGTGTTATATGTTGTCCTTATTATAACTACTTTCCATTCCCCTTTAAGCCATTTTTAAGAGGGACATTTTTGCTGCTTTGTGGCTTTTTGGACTTTCAGTAAAATGTTCCTAAGCAATCTCCAGTTATCATTTATGTTTTTTGGGTTAAATTCTCTCTCCTGATTTAGCTCATAGTTATTTTTAGTGTTATGAACCTGGTCTTTTTAAAGCACTGAGAATATTTATTACTTCTTTGGATTTATTTATATTTATTATGTTTAAACAGAATATAGTTATGATAATGTTGTACCTAAGCTACTGCTAATTTTTACTTATGTGATCATGACCTCTTTATTAATCAAGACAAAGTCTAATACAAAATTCCCCCTGGATGCAATACTTTTTGAGTTAGGAAACTGTCATCTACAAGT